CGTGACTAGGTTTCGAACATGGTACCGGATCGATCAGTACCAACTGCATTCTCATATGATCTCATATATATAAGATCGCGTTACACACACATATATATATATATATGCCACTTAGGTGAGACCTTGAGGGAGGAGTTCTTGAAGCATGGCTCTTTTCAGGAGCTGGAATGTCAGATAGCCAAATGGCAAAAGGAGAGCTTGGACACAGGAAAGCGTGGCATGTGGTGTAGCAAAATCTACCTCCAAACCGAGAAGCACTGGAGCAAGTAGACTCCTGAGTCATTTACATTTCCTAGTACTAGATCAGTAATGCACGTTTCATGGGTCTTGGTGAACAAATTTGTCGGCCAAGGTCCATGGTTGAACACGCATGGAACTGGGCCCGTGACAACGGGCACCTCAGGCAGAATCCAATTCACGGTGAAGAAGAGATCAATGTAGTATTGGAAGAGTATTTTGATCATGCTCAGCAGCAGGGGAATTCCATGACTCAATCAGGGAGCTTTGCTATGGAGGACATATCGACTAGCCAGCGTAGATCGTCTCGAATTCTTTTGATCTCATGATATACCATATATCTTGAATACATTGGAGCCTATATAGATGTGCATGCATATATATTTGCGTTGGGTATATGCACACTCATGTGGCCACCAGCATGCAGGACCCCAATGGAAGCCTGCTCTCGAGTCAGGCCGTCCCCGAGAGGCTGCGCGGCTTGGTTCCTCACACGGCAGGCGATCAGAACGAGTTGCAGAACGTCCCAGGTTCATTCAAGTTACCCGGTGTACTTTCATTGCATGGCACCCCAAACCTGCAGTGTTTGTTTCTGAGACCCAGTGATTTGGCTGAGGCTTGTCTTCCCCACGCTGCAACAGAACGCCTCGATTATGGGAGTTTTGCCAAGCTGGATCGAGACATTGGGGCGCAAAATCGATTCTGCTGAACTGGAAAAGGAGGGGGCCCAATTCTTCTAATTTTTCCTGTGATGCACTGTAAACCATTGCAACCCTACCGGTCGGTTTCCCAATTGGTTTCCTCCTAGCTCCTTCTAGGACAAGCTGCTGCAAAAGCGCAACGAGCGTACCGACCTGTGCCTAGCCCGCACTGAGGTTGCATGCAACAAGTGAAGCATGTAGTTGTCGTTGTCCCTACGACACTTGATGCAGCCTTTCCCAGGGCTGCCAAACAGATCGACAACCTCGTCAAGGAGCTCAACAAGGGATACGATGAGCTGACAAAGTTCCAAGCCGATGGAGCAGTTGGAAAGTAGCAGCCTTATAAGATTGCAATGCATTGCTTTTAGGATCTTTTAGGGGACACCTGCACTCTCCCTTGCTACCTCATTTGTTGATATGCACCGCTTCCCAACATGGATGTTGATGTTGTACATGCAATCTTCTTTTGTAGGTTGGATGAGCAAAAGGTGAAGGACAAAACCGTGGAGATCACCAAACTCGACATCGCTTTGAACAACTGCCTCGTTCGAGCTAAGACCCTAGGCTGAGATATAGCTGGTTGTTGAGAACACCAGAACCCAGAACCCTTACATGTCCCATTCCTCCACCCCAGGAACCTGAAGGTTGCGCCCGGAAAAGCGACACGGCCTGGCGGTCATGGCGGTGCCTCGGCAAAGGCGAAGGCCGCTACGAAGGCCAAGGCCAAGCCTGCGGCTTCACGCAAGCCGGCGAACAAGGGACGTGGCAACCGTGCTGCGGCAAAAGCTTCGCCCAAAAGAAAGGCTAGCGATTAGCGATTAGATCAGTTTGGATGGCCTTCAAAACAGCCGACAGAGCTGTTCTTCGAGGGCCTATGTAGACACCGCGACCGGGGTTTGTTGCGATGTGTTCTGGACATGTGAAAATGTGTTTGCACGGCGATATTTATATATAGCATCATGCAATCAGCTGCTAACAAGGCACGGGTCAACAAACCGTGTCTTGCAACTTAACGTCTTCCTTTGGCGTGCGCATGCGCAGAAGCCTTGACATCCCAACATGCCCAGCGGCTACCACAAGGCCAGGCCTGGGCGAAGCTGCGCATTCGATATATATATTTATCTCAACTGGTTCATGGCAGGGGATGATGATGATGATGATCGCTCTTCATCAACTCCCTCGGATTTAGCCGATGAATTGTTCACGGGTTTTGAGGAGGGTGCAACTTGTGCTATACAAACCGCCAGTGATCTGGAGGGTCAGTCGTTAAGTTGAAGTCTATCGCATGCATGTTTTATAAATGCCATTGATCGATCTCAGGCAGAATCTGCATACCGTGTGGTTAGATTAGCCAGAGTGGCTGAAAAAAGAATGAACAGACTAGGTGCCTCGTCTACTCGAGTCTTTTTTTCGAGATGTGCATGCGCTTTCCTGCGTCCAACCACCTCACACGTGTCGCCCAGGTGTCAGAGACCCAAAACTTCGAGCCATTGGACGTGCTGGACCTACTTCAAAAAGGAAAGGTTTCAGAAACATTTGCCGGAATTTTCATTCCTACTTAGCAAGGGAAAAGAAGTTCCTGCAGGTCAAGATTTCCATGATCCGAGTGAGAGTGCGTGTCCACCGGCCGAAAGTTCGAGAGATCGTTGCTGAATACCCGTACATTGCATTGCAGTCTTGGGCCCGCTATTTGCTGAGCCACGCTGCCAAGTACTTGCTGGGTGGTTTTAGTCTTTCCCAAAAGCAAGAATGGGGGTGCATGTTCCAAAGGTTTTGGCAGCGATACAAAATGTTGGATCCTGGGCATCCGGTCTTCCGGGACTTCAGTGACTACACCCGGCTGATCCCCTACTGTATTCATGGAGACGAGGGCCGGGGCAAAGCAAAGAATCCTATCCATATTGTAACCTATCAACCACTGGTGGGCGTTTGTGAGGAAGATCGTACCAATATTACTGGGTATCTTTGGCCGTGTTGGCAGCCTTTTCTCGGTTTACATTGCCTCTGAATATCTTGGGAAACTAAGCTCAAACGTTGTACAGGCCCTAACTTGTATGCCATTAGCGGGGGTGCTTGAAGCAACCTGGATCCATAGAACCCTAGGCACTCGTTCAGCACAAGATTTCTATCCCATCTCATGCCCAGCAAGAACTACGCGGCAAAAGATGCAACGATCTATGACCTCTCAAGCGCAATGGTTGATGATCTGACACGCTGCTATCATACCGGGATTACAGCCGCTTGCCGGCTAGGGTTGTATACATGTCACTACGCACACACATGTGCATGCTCGTACTATACAGTAGATATTGTGCACGTTCTGAGGTGGCAGGCGAACAATTTCATCTGATATATGTTGGCGCCAAAGGAGATTGGCCTTGGCTGAGAAAATGGCTTTCTTTGTCAACAGGGTTCAATGCGAAATATGTCTGCCATTTTTGCAACACGCTGGACGCACGGCACGCACGGCATGTTTGTTTCAAGCCACAACAGGTATTTGGGTCGCCATCTTGTGCTTAGCTGAGGAGTGGTGGAAACTTGGCAAGCATGGTTGCTTGGAAGGTTTCGATCGGGGTTCACAGAGACCTCCATGGAAGAGAGCAGAGGCCAAGTTTCTTGAATGTCCAGGGGCGCGGTCGGCTCTGCGAATCCGAACTGATATCGCACATACATGGGCGATAGGTGTCGGAAAAGAGTTTTGTGCTAGCGCGCTAGTTACAATCTGCGATATCCTCGTGCACGGCCCCAGCCTGGACAGCAAGCTAGAGGACCTGTACAGCCACTTCCGGGAGTGGTGCAGTCGTGCCCATGAGACCTGCAAACTCAACGAGTTTAGCAAAAAGACCTTGAAGATTCAAACGCAACTTGGATGAACCACTGCAAAGCACCGTGTAGTTTTCTCTTGGAATTTTCAGAGCTGAGGCGAAAACAGTATCCGGTACTTTCAGGTCAGGGGCACGACTGCATCGTGGTCCAAAAATGGATTTCATGCTTCCTTTCGAGCTTCACGTGTGCTGATGTGGTTTCTTGGCCCGGAAGAATGTGTTTTGTCATGGGACGCATTGAATCTTCTGGATGTCAAGACAGCGCGACAGTTTTGAGGCACCAAATGACCGTGATCTCTTCCAGATCCTGAAGTACTCAGCAGACACAGGAAACGCATTCTTCCGTGGACTGTACTTGTACGGGACTTGGCTGCCAGCAGATGCAGCACGTCGCTTGGTGCCCCTGGGATGGGGTATTACGGATCCTTTGACTGCCGGTTATAGAGTCCACATGTTTGCAGTCAGTGCTCTTGTGCGGGTTGGTTTCCAATCTTATAAGGAAAGCTACAGTGCGCTGGCACGCATTTCACGGGAGCGAGACTTGAAACTCTTCCGTGTAAAGCCCAAGCTCCACATGTTGGACCACATAACGTGCCTTTGCTAGACTGCATGAAAAGCAATATGTGTGCGAGTGTGTGGTGAGAACAGTTGTGTGCATGTCAGTTGTGTGTCCCCTGTTGGCAGGGAAGATATGCAGTCACATATCAACAGCGGGTGTCAGTTCCTTCTCAACAGTTTATGCTGCTTGACTCATGGTTTTTGCGTCAAACCAATCGTCTTTTCTCGATCATGCCGCCACACCTGTTACCTAGGCTTTGCCTGTTGGCAAGATGAAGACATCATAGGAAGGGTCGCGAGAATCTCACGACGCACACATAGCCTTACCACCTGTCTTCGAACGTTCAGCAGAGCTCTCTTGAAATACAAGAGGCTGCTGCATGGAACCGGACCAGCCCCTCGCTGAAAAAGACTGAGTTTCCCGGCATAGGAGGCAGCCGCTGATGTTGATGTACACGTCGGTGGGCATGGGGGAGGATCACATGTTATATAATATGTTAAAACCCTTAAAACACAAACGCGCAGAAAAACAGAGCTCGAACACTTTTAGTTCAAAACGTACCTGAAAAATCTCGTAGCACAAAAATCAGTTACATTTGAAGGTGCTGGTAGCTTCCTATATGGCTTAAGAGAATTACTAGACCAAAGGCAAACTCCACGGTTTACTTGGCGGCGCAGCCTGGGAGTCCTGGGAGAGGTGGTTTTTGGTGCTGACTTCGACCTGCGGCTCAGGTGTGCAGGGAATGACAAACACAGGTCTCCCGCACCAAGAGCATCGCAGCTCCTATCCCTGCGTCTTGTATCAGTTCTGAAATGCCCCAACAAAAACTGAATAGCGTCCCGATGCCGGGCCAGTAATTGTCCTCTTGGACGAAACCAGATCTAAAGAAAAAACGGTGCGAACAGTGCCCAAGACTTATGCCAAGACGGTCTCCCTCTTCGATTCACTTCATCTCCGCGCGACATCGACGCATCGCCTGGCAAGGCCTAGGAGATGGGGATCCGGAGATCCGTTGAAGCCAACAAGGAGCGGGAATGATAGAGGGGTCGCCATAGACCGATATACTTATTGATGTATACACGACCTGGGGGTATCCCCTCAGTTTCATGAACCAACCAATGGTGCCATCTATGGAAGCATGTCAACAGGTGCCCGGGGTGATGTTGCCAGAGTCATTCAGCCACTGTCTGGGTCCGTTGATCTCGGAAAAAGGCCCTTTTGAACAAGCGCTCGGTATTGGGACAGGGTCAATTTAGCCCACTATGGAATAAAATGAGGGTGTCAGTTCGAGTTCAATTATATAGATGGATACTTTATGGGGGGTGGTCATGGAAAACACCTTGAATTGGCTGACAAAAAGGCCATGAGACCAATGAAATGCTGCTTCCGCAGTCAATGGTCAGAATCCAAGGCGCCCCCAAAAAATAACAACCAAGGTATAACCTTACACACGGAAGAGGCGACATATTCAAGCTGAAACCTGTTTGACAGTGCAACGAACCAATGCGGCTGAAGCTTCTGGAGCCCAAGTCTGCCATCCAAAGCCTAACTTCTTCAAAAGAGGTGCAGCTCAAAGCTTGAAAACCTGATAGCACCTGGTTTATGAAGGGTAGATTCAGCACAAACATGTACAAACGCAAAATCCAAATCCCCAGCCATTGGCCGAAAGCGCGATTTCGCGCGGGCCAAGGGCGCTTTCGGCGTCCATGATCGAAGTCTCGAGATTTTGACCAACCACTCCCAACTTGCAACAGGCCACCAAAAGCTCTTGGACTCTTCGCACACCTGGGCTGAAGACTGACCGAGCAGGCCAGTTTATCGGGAAGTACTCCCGCAGCAACCAAGAGATTCAGAGCTTCTGGAGACTCGAAGGTTCTTTTCACTGCCTGGTTCAGGTGTCCTGGTTCAGTTGGTCTTTTGAACATGGAGCTCCTTCCATCTGGACTCCCAGTGACATGGAAGTGGAAAACGACCTAATTGTAGGGGAAAAGGGTCATCCAACAGGCCATACCCCTTGGCAAAGATAGATTGCAACCTTGTGGGCTGCTGGTGCTTTGAATCTGGTTTAGAATCCAAGGGAGTTGCTTAGCAATTGTTGGAAAGGATGAAGCACGGCAACCAACCCGAAAGAAGAACTGCATCCTAGTCAAAAAGAGAACGCAGCCAAGCAAAACCCGTGGCGGAGGGTCACACAACCACCAACAAAAACGGGCAACTTCAAGAGCAACCCCACTCGGCTGAACAGATGCATTCTAAGAAAATGGAGACCAGTTATATAATCAACCCAACAAACAGTTCTACGCTCGCGTACACGTCCCAGCACTCATCCCAACGCCATGTTTTGGGAAAACATCCGTATTCAACTGTTGGACAATGTCACTCCTCTCAAATCAATGACCGGTGCCTATCTCTTTCAGCCATGATGCCTATGGGTATCACATCTGTCCTTTGACCATGCCCTGGCAAGGGGCGCACACCTGTGTTATCTGAAACTCCGCCCAGGCGCGCTTGGGCGCCCAGAGCCGATGTGGCTGCAGCCTCGAGCTGCAGGCCGAGACTCGACTGATTTCCATGCGATCGTGGAGGATACCGATGATACCGGGGTCTGATTTTTCCGAAGACCGATTTCCAGTCTTGGACAGCTTGATACCGGTTACCGTTTGGGACTTTTAGATCATTGATATCTAGGGACTCGTTGATGTTGATGTCCGCTTCGTTACCCCCCAATTAGCCCATATAATTATACAAGGCAATCAATCACTACCAACACTCCACCGTGGCGAAAAATCACAGCGAAATTGGTGACGAAGTCTTCGTGGCCTTGATACTGGGCGCAGCAGGTAGGCACGGAGGGGACAGATCCTTCAACTTAAAACAACCTGGTCACTCAAAAAGACTGCGCGTCCAGTCTACCAACCTCGACAGACCTCCACAGACCGAGCTCCCTCCGCAGACCGAGTCCCCACCAGCGCCACGCTGCTCTGGATCTCCCCGGCGCTGCGGGGGCCTGGGCACCGTCGCTCGCGCCCGGGAGACTCGAGTTGGTGGTGCCAGATGTAGGCGTGCCTGTGGTGCCTGCGGTGCCTGCGGTCTTCCAAAAAGGACCAGAAACGATGTGCACGAAGACCTGAAAGTGGAGACATGATACATGAGACATGATGGGTGGGCTCTCCAAGTGGTCTTGTGTGGCCTCACGGACCTCTAGAAGCTTGTTTGGAACTCCATCTTATTGAGCTTACCCCACAGATTTGGTGCGCAAATCTCCAAATTATCAATACAGATTGAGGCTGCATAGGCGGAGCTTCTGGAGCACAGAAACGGGTGAAAAAAAAAAGAAAACTTGATGTGGCCGCGCGTCTCCCAAGATTGAGAGAAAATCGGATCAGGAGAGATGCGAAAGTCCCGGAGTCAACCCCGGTCAACCCCAGTGAAGCTACAAGCACTGAATTCCCTGACAAGGGGAAGGTGGTCGGGTCATGTGACTCAGTGGTCCCAGTCCTTTGCACCGGTGGAATGGCGTGAAGTTCCTTCGGCCGCGGTGCGCGTTCCTTCAGTTCCTTCCGCCTTCCCGTTTGAAACACGCCCCTTCCGTCGGTGAACGCTCTGGGGATGTCAACATCAGAACCTCTCCCCAGTGTGCTCCGTTGAGCGATCTCAGCATATCTCAACCACGTCCTTCCAGCAACCATCCACCTGAGATGCTGTGTGAATATTCAGAATACAAAGGCCTCCCTTCTATGCATCCTCAGCATGAGTCTTGTTATGTCTTTTTGTGCATCCCAGGATGGTCCAGGAGTTCTTCAAAACGTATGGATGCGTTTGGCATGTTGCGGAGCCCCACCCAAACACCAAAAGCCAGTTCGAAAGGACATCTGAGAGCAGCGCAGGGTCGGGCCTGAGCCAATGGCTGTGGCATGACCAGGGAGAACCCCCGAACCACGTGGGTATCCTCCAGTGGTCCCGCAGAAAACCCTAACAGGCCCTTAGCATGTCTTGAAAAAAAGCTCCACACCGGTGCCAAAGAGCACCACACCAAGTCTTGGCACTTCAATATGAACAAAATGGGCAATGTGGTGAGCTCCCAGGCCCAAACACCAGCCGAGCGGACCCCACGGAAAAACACCATGATGGGCCAAGGAACCTCTGATCACGACCCTATAAAAATCCCAAAGGCCTTGGTATCTTAGCAAGTCACTCTGTAGGGCACATACTATAGAACCGACGTAAGTATAGTGGGCAAAAAGTAAGCTCAGTTCCTACTGGTCGCAATGGTTCCTCGTCGCCCAAACAAGCGGGAAGGTCGATGAGGTGGCGTTTTGCGGTGCCAGCGATACTCTGGATTGATTGGAATCAAAGGCACGAGTTTTGGCCATTTCGGGAATTAATACACCGAAATCAGACACATTGGCCGCTTGAGGCTGCATATTCTGTTTCTGGTCCATCTACCAGGTCTAACACGTCCAGTTCCCACAGTTCATGTCGAAGATTCGTGTGAAATCAGCACATGTCAAGGTTAAGAGCAGAGGCCCAACCAGAAACACAGAGGATATACAGCCCCGGGCAGTAGCCAATGTGTCTGATTTCGGTGTATGGGGATTCCCCAAATGGCAACCAACTCAGGGTCATCGGACAGCACGACTATGCCGAGCGCCACTCATCTACACAACTAGACTCGACTCATCTGTAGACCTCCCATCCACTTGGTTGCCCCAGCGCCACGGCTGAAACCCACTGAGCGTGGGGTGGATGGGCCTCAGCTGTTGGAGGTGTTCTTCAGTGCTTTTGAGGGGACAATCCTCCTCAGCCAAGGTCTTTCCATGGTCTATAAGTGTCTTTGGCCCATGCCTTCAAACAGCGCTGGAGTATTGTTCACTGATACTTCCTCCCATCATCGACATCAACGGTGCATGAGTCAGACTGCGCAATGGCGTTTTCGAGCTCCCAGGGAGACAAAACGCTTCAAAATACATGGCCTGCAATAAGCATGTTGCATTAATAATCAAGAAACAGCCATAATATACCATTAACTGAATCCACATGTGGCTTCCCAACACTGGCAATCCGGTACAACACAATTACCTTGAAGTTTGCATATCTCCAAAGGCAAGCTTCAAGCCCTTCAGTACCAAGTTCGGTCGAAACAAACACGTCAAACTGCCGTCCCGTTCGGAAACGGCGCCCGTTCGGCAACGGCGCGGCTTCCGCCCTCGGTGTCCCGGGCTGCTTCCGGCCTCAGTGGACCGGGTGACTCGCTGGCGGGCCTGTTGGGCTGCCCAGTCTCCTTGTTTGGGAAGTGGTGATCCGACACAGATCCCCTCCAAAAGGAACCTTTTATGGAAGTTGTAGACAAATTCTCTATTAGTGGGGACGACCATCTTTGGCCCACGAAATCAATGTAAATTGGCCCAAGACTTTGCCTTTGCCAAAGACCTGAGTCTCGATCCATGATTTTGCGACAAGACACAGAAGTAGAAGTAGTAGAAGTATAGACGTAGACGTAGACGCAGAGGTAGTGGTAGTGGTAGTAGGAGTAGTAGCAGCAGCAGCAGTAGCAGTGGCAGCAGTAGCAGTAGCTGTAGTAACTAGTAGTAGTGACTAGTCGTAATTAGCGATATAGATAGGTCTTTCAGTCGGTGCCACAGGGCCAGGTGGTTTTCCTGGACCTTCCCCGTCTCTCCCGCCGGCTCCCATCGGCTCCCACGTCGGCTCCCCAGCCAGTCTTGGACTGCTCACCGAAAAGCCCAGCATGCTTCTCCTGGCGCAGTCGGGCAGGTGCAGGAGATGGGCATGCACGGTGCAGTCGGTCGAAGGCTGGCTGGTCCCAGCTGGCTCCCGTGTTTCACGGTGAAAGCAAGCGCATCCATGTCCGTTGCGACCACTTGATGCTACATGCTTGGCTACTCCTGTACTATCACTTGTCACTTGAGAGTTCTTCCAATGCCAAACTCTGAATGCTTCAAGACAGAAAACCATGCTCCAGTAGACAGAACATGATGCCGACAGAAGGGCTTTCTTCAATGGATATCCTTTCTTCAAGGTCATATTCTTTGCAGCTTCCGGGTGCAATCCGCAACGACATGTCAAGCGCCGTGAAGCGGCGACGAACAGTGGGGTCAGCCACGAACCGCTGGCTGAAGGCGAGACGAACCGCGCGACTGAGCTACACTCCGTGGAAGAATCAACGAAGTGGAGTGAAAATCACCTGTTTGTAGAGGACAATGGTCATCCATCATCCCTTCTGGGGCCATGCCATTCATTTCCATGATTATTTCAGGGAGTGTAGTGGCAGGATAGTGCTGCTCTAGCACATGGTCAGATAGGCCACATGAATAATGGCAAAGCGAATGCCAGCGATGCGTATGTACCATGTGAATTCCGTGGGCCACCCATGAAAGCTGAACACTGGACTCAGATCAAATCCTCTTCAATCAACCCAGGTCTTTGGTTGAGAGAAAAATTGCAAACCACTTCGATCGACTTCGATCGCCTCCATGGTTCTGAACCGATTCAATCGCTCGAAAACCACGAAGTTACGGGCGTAACTGTAAGTCATTTCTACCTGATTCGTTGACTGCTTTTGGAAAGCCTGTACCTAAAACTAGTGTTGCACAAACACAATAATTGGTAATATATCATATATCATATATCCTCATGTTTCAGGGTCGCATATCGTCCAATCATCCTCCACCATCCTCCAACACCCGAACGAGGAGAAGCCAACGCTCTGCCCGTGCTCCAGCCGTTCCAGCCGTCCCGCGCCTACAGGAAGCGCTTGGACTGATCGATGGTGATGCACCGCCCTGGCGTGCCACGGCATCTCGTGATCTCGTGCGCCGCACAAGCGGGAAAATCTTGTGCGCCTTCGAACAGGCGACGGAGGTGATGAACACCCCCAGATCAGACAGCCCAAGTGGTGTTTGATGAGTTCATTAAAATCACTGGAATAACTTGAGGCCCTTCCTTCCCACCCAAGAACACCCAAGACCCCGACCAACCACACGGTCTCGACTCAAGAGACCCACGAGACTCTGCCGACTCCGCCGAAACCACCCGGTGCCTTAGGGCTCATGGTGCGTCCATCATTGCCATCCTGGGTGGGCCACACTCAGGTGACTAACGTCATGAAAAGCAAAGCAAATCCACATCTGGTTGAGCGATTTCGGGTGCTGTCTACATGTGTCCTTGTTCTGGTAGGTTTGGTTGGCATGTAGCCCTTGCCCAAAGAATTCAGAATAGTGTTTCCCTCGCTCAGACTCAATAATGAAGTAATGATGTAATGATAAGGGTGCCAAAAGCTGCTTGGCAGTCGTTCTAGATCGTTCCATAGGTTCCACCACAACCTCAAGCTTTTGCGCTTCTGCACCCTGTGCTTTGAAAGCACAGGATCAAAACCACTCAAAAGAAAAGCGGGTTGCGTGCCAAACATTCAGGGTTGTAGAGGCCTGATGTAAGACTCGCCTGTGGAAAGGCTGAAGAATGAGACTTCAACGTTTGGATGATCCAAAGGGTCTCATCCAATTACCAGCTTGGTCCATAAAGCCCCGTGGAAAACTCACATGGACCCTGAAAACCACTGGTTTCTAGAGTCTAGAGGAAAACAGTCACACTCAGGGTGCCATTTTTTTCACTACTCGAGCCCAGTTTCAATCACTTCCTCTCTCAAAAAGCTTCAAAAATCCGCAGCCACCGCCCGGTCGGTCTAATCGGATGCCCTATCTGGGTGCCCCCAAACGTAGAAGCAATTCCAATGCCTCGGGCAGGTCGACCGGTCGACCAGGTTGACAGCCGGTCCAAGGTCCCGGAATTCCTCAGGAAAGTCCCATGCATAGACAACAGCTTCTTGTTACTAGAAGCAAGAATGCTCCTAGTACGGCCAGGAGCCCCTAGTAGCGTCCTTGCTCCTAGTAGCGATGCCCTTTGCCCCTAGTAGCGTCCTTGTTCCCCTCGGGCATCAAGACTCCGACCCAAAGAAGAGAGAATCCTCTAAACGTTCGTCGCCAATACTGATCCAATAAACCAATGTTCTGCTGTGCATCGGCGTCCGCAAGTCTGCGTGGATCTCTGGTTGATCTGTTGATTTTGCCTTAGGACCTAAGGACATTTACTCAACCCAAAACCAAATGTACTGTTCCTTTCTGTTTTCCGTTACGCTCGTCATCCAATGGTGTTCCGAGTGAACAGCCCGGTGAAGAGCCGATCCGCAGAGGTGACCGGCAACGTCACGCACCGTCCCGGCGATGGTCAAGGAAGGAGTGCTGCACGGTTGGCACACATGATACTTTTTATGGATGATTGTAGGTCTAGATGAAAAATCCATGTACCCTGTGCCCCACATCCCATGCTGTTCGAAGTTGTCTGGGTCTGACTTCCAATCTTTAAACAGAGTCACAGCGGCTGGGCTAAGGTCATCTGAGGTCTGCACCAGGACCAATATCCAAGATCTTCCTAGACGAAGACCAACGGACCAAAGTCAAATTCAAAAAAAATGGCCCGTCGCGCTGTATGCTTCGTAGTTGCTCAAGCTACAGGCATGGAACGGGAAGAGGTTCAGAGAACGACTTCCCTCTGCAGCCTCCACTTAATCTCTCTGTCGCGGTGTGTCACTGTCCATACTTCAACTTGGGAGTTGAATGACAGAAGAGTTCGTCAAGTCAGCAGCGGTGTCAGGGGGTACCTATGACCCACGTGGTCAATCTCTGTCACGGTGGAGGCGCGCATCGGATTCAGATTGAATCAGATTGTCAGGCAACTCTTGATACTATTACGGCTAACTACGGCTAACTACGGCTAACTATATGTCTTTGTGTGTTGGGAGCCACGGGCCTTTCGCGACTCCCTTCGCACCGCCCCCCACGCGCGTTGGTGACGACGCGCGAACGCGGCGCCTTGGATCGGATCGTACAGCGCACGCGCATGAGCTCGTTTCGGTGGCACGCCTGAGACAGGTGGCAGGGTGTGTTTGGGTGTGAGACACAGAGATGGAAGAGAAGAACACCGTCTTTGCAAGGGGGGGTGATGTCCGGTCTGTGATCTCTCTCATGAGGTGCCCTGCTTGAAACAAATGTGCAAGTGGACAAGGGTTGCCCATCTGTTGAGAAACATATGTCTTCCAAAAAAGATCCAAAAAGCATCTGCCGGCCGAGGTCGTGCCAAACGTCGCTTGGAGGCCTTTGGCGACCTTCCTGCCCGAACGGGGCGGCGGTCTTCCTTGCATAACCCCCCACACCTGTTCACACCGGCGCCGGTGCTTGAACAGGCCTGACGCATGATGAAAGCTAGAAGGCGCTGTCGGCTGCTGCAGAAGAGGCCCCACCTCAAGTGTCCGGCTGGTATTGCTTCAAAACCTGCCACAATGCACTACAAGAAGGGTTGCACACCATAATTCTTAGGGCTAAGGCTAAAAATTCACAAGGACATCTCAAGTCATCACTTGCTGTTGCTTAGAAGTCATACTGGCATATATATATATATACTGGCTGCACTCAAACCTGTAAAATCAAAGTGCTTGAGTATAGGGCAGTGTTCTTTCTGACTTCTGGGCATCTATGTGTCATTGTCTGATCACCCAACACCACAGTCACCATGAGGCAAGCTGCATCGAGATCGTACGATGTGTCAAAGTCACCAAATCAAAAGGATTCGGCCCCCAATGCCGCACTTCGCCAGCGTGAAATGACTGCGAGGGTTGGGTGGGCGATATCGGTGATATGATTTAACAAAACTGCATCTGTTTGACACCTGCGCCGGGTCCCTATTCTGCATCTGTTGAAAAGACTGCACGCGGGGGCAAGACAGGAGACAGATGAAGATCTTCGACATTGGAGGAGTATCAACCTAGAATTCGGCTTCACACCCTTGTATGGGCCAACAGGGTGATCTTCGCGTGCAGAAAAAGCTCTCCGATATAATATATATATATATATAGGCATGGCACCGGCACCGTTTCTTTCCAAACTCAATCAACGCTGCTGAACCCTAGGTCGTAGGTGTCATGATGTGTCCAGCAACCTTCGAGAAGCTTCGCACCACTTCGCTGGTCCGTCGGCCTTTGCGTCCGTGTTCAACGGGACGCACCGACCGTGTGTCGTGGGCGTCCGTGCGTGCCATCTTCCAATTGGTGCACGAAGACATCCAGTGGCGAAGCCTCCGTCAACTCCAAGGGTGTCACCTCAGACGTCGTGTGCCAGGCGTCGTGGTCGCTGGAAATTGGGTGGCCCTGCGCCCAACACATGGTGGGGCCAGGTGGAAAGGGGCCATTGAAAAGAGGTCCTAAACAGGCTGGTCCAAAAATCAACAAGTTGATGAGACAGCTAACAACAGTGAAATTCCAAGAATGGACTTGGGATTCCCACGCTGCCACTGCTCAGGCGTTGAAAGAGTTCAAAGAGTGCCAGCATGGAGCGTTTGTCCTGGACACACGGGTGTGACGGGCCACTCCCTCGCAGAACCACATCCTGGTCATATCGGCCACGGTGAAGGATTAGTGTTTTTTGTCCTAGATGTTGTGTAGGCCCACTGCTATTTCAAGCGTCACAATGCTGCCCAAAGATACATGAAACATCATAAAACATCATGACACTATGGTGCGGGGTAGACCAATTGTACTGAATTGACCCTACCACATGATCTTACATGAGGGATTCCTTAAGGCTTGGAAGACGAAACCAACCAAACTCAAGAACCCTCCGAAGAACCTCCCAGGCCTTGGCCATTCACGTTGGCCCATCCCAGGCCTGGCCCAAACACACACCTTTTGACGGTATCAGGTGGAACAGTCCTTCCATTGACCGAACTCGCGGTGCCTTCCACTCTCTGAAGGACACGCAACTGTCCACCTGTTCTTGTTTCAGTGATTCGTGACTGTTTTACTCATCCCATCCAGTGAGCTTCGTCCCCGGTCCCGGATCGTTCTTCCCCCAACCTCGGTCTGGGATCTTCCCAAAGGCTCGGGATTGGCTTTACCGGCTTAAGGAAAAATGCATGAAACATCTACAAAGAATGGTTCGAATCCGCATTTCTGCTACATGAGTGTCCTGTAGATGGTCCATGAGTGTCTCTCAACCAGAAATCTGTTTACTTCTTCGCCCCCGCACCGCGGGACCGGACTCAGTCCTTGGCCTCAACGGAGTTTTCGCTCGCCGCCTCGGGTTCAGCCCCAAGTGTCGATGTGGAAACGAAGGATGATGGGTATTGATGGGTTCATAAGGACTGATGGTCGCCCCCCCCCTTGTTTCCCGGATGCTTCACATCGGGCGGCCTGGGGGGGGGTTGAAATGGTTGAAACGGCCTGGGGACCATTGACGAAATGAAGATGGAGACAGAGTGACGGAAACCGGACCAGAGACGGATCTGGAAAGTAAGATCGGGAAAAACAAAACATCGGATATCATGGGATCTAGATGCATCCTGGAATTTCTTTGTATCATGTGTTGATCTGTGGAAGAATATGGAAGGACTGGCCGAACTTGCTTTCAAACACATAGGGTCAGTTTGCATAGACTAATCTTCAATCAACCACAAAAACACTGAAACCAGTTGAACTCTTAATTTTAGCCTTTCTTAGGTCCAAACATGTGTTATTCATCAGTTCGTTTCTGCCTCCAGGCGCCTCCACCTCCGAAACGCTCTGAGCCGGTGACAAGGCTGGGCTGAGTGACCCTGAGACACCTGGAGCGAAGCTGGAGCCCGGAGCAGCAGGAGCGAAAATTCCATGATCCTGTGAAAAAATACTGAAGGTAGACAGGTTGTTTCGACCTGGAACTAGGGCCCTAGCGGCCCTAGCGTGCCCTAGCATTCCAACCACCATTGAGGGGTTCAAGTCCCGAACAATCATTGTTTTACTGTTTATAGTAACAATGGTCGACGCGAAGGCTGGGATGTGCAAGACCCTTCTCATACATGCTGCGCATCCCAGTACTTGAAATGAAAGACACGGTACTCAGGTACTCGTCAGTCTGTGGTGTATGGCGACGAGCTGGCATCCTTGAAAACGAATCAGTTGATGCCTTGTAGACCGAGAGTTAGGTGTCATGACCGTGATCAACAAGCCTAATACTTTCTCAAGAGGTGCATTCATGAGTGGCGTTGTTCTGAGGCTCTCTTTTTGCTGTACTTGTTCAAAGGACATGGATAAGGGGTCAATCGAATGGTTCGAGCTTTGCTCGACTTGCGCGCCAAATGCGCTGCAAGGATCTAGGCATCTAAGCCCAACCCCGACCAATACATCCAACTTGTCGAAACTGAGGCGGCCCAGTGGCAGCCAAATGTCAAGGTGAAACATAGATAGATGCCCAAGCAAGAGGCAAAAGGAAAACAAAGAGCTCGAGGAGCAGAACAAAAGGTGCATGTGCAAAAGAGCTAGCAAAGGGGCCTGTTAATCTGTGCAAAGCCACAGCTAGCGGTAAAGGCATCGCGTGGGTATGGCTCTCATAACTAGACTGCACAAGAACAATGATCGAACGGCAGACGTTCCTGATTGGTGAATTCTGGAGCCATATCCACAACGGAATCCACCGATTCTGGGACTCACACGACCACAGGTTTAGGGCTTGGTTTTTTTTTGGCCCTGTTTTGGGTTTTGTTTCGAAACGTTTGCCTCAGGGTTTCAAACGGACCTGTTAGATTTGGGGGCCGTGCCTCCCAAGGTTCTTTTTCCGTTTAGGGCTTTCCATTTCCAAATTCTCATCGCACACCTGTGGTGCAACGCACTTGCACCGACCATTCCTTGGCTATCCGACCATTCCGCATCTCCAGTGCGAAAAACAGAGCTCGGCAACCACAGTAAATCACTGAATCCAGTGATTAAAAACTAAGGAGCACAGTAAATGGTGACTGTATGTGATTGATTGCAATCATGAGTTTGAGGCTTGCTCCGCCTCTTGTTGGTGTTTTCAAATTGGCCCATGGCGGGAGATGTGAACCAATCCAATTGGCCCATCGTTCTTGGGGTTGGTCTTGACCCGAACTTGACCCCCTTCTCACAGGATAGGGACTACCATGGTTTGGTGTGTGGCCTCAACAGGGCAGTCATGGGCTTGACCCGCACAACACGTGTGCGAACCAGAACGGAAAAACTATATATATAACTAAGGAATTCTTTCAACCAAGTCTGTATGCCTTTGAATCTGTCCTATACTGCACTTGTCATAGCCATGCTTCTCGATGTGCGCAATAAAGGGATTTGCTGGCAATCCGGAATGCTGTGCCATCAATGGACAGGATGCCACTGGGCAAGCTGCACCGGTGGCTGGCCTGTGGCAGATTCCATGATTCCACTAGGGCTTCCTTAAGGGACCAACGGCCCCAAACGAACCTGCCTTTGTTTTTTGGGATTGCTTTGATTGGGAGTTCCACCAAAAGGGACCAGACAAAAACAAAAACAACACATGTCTGGCTTCCAATGACCATACCACGATGTCATTGGTTCTTCCCCAAAAAACTGTGCAGCCTAGCAGGTGCGACTGCGTCACACACCGATGCTTCATCGATCTCGCATCATTCCAAAAAGAACAGCACCAGACGCACCGTGACGGCACCAGACACCGTCAGATCTTCATCCTATCCAACGTCCCCACGATCGATTGGTCCGTGGTCCCCCACTGTCGATCAGATCTCACCTCTGATCGCAGCAGTCCCCTTTCCAGGCATAGCGGATTCCAAAGGCCATGCCCTGGGTCTTTGCAAGGTCCACCACGATGGAGTTCGCAGACACCTGACAGAAGAGCGGAGCTGAGATGAGTGAAATAGAGGGCTTTTGGCATCCCAACGCTTTGATGAAGGCATGCACAAACGAACCATCCTCGTAGGGTTGCGGAAAATCACAGCTTTCTCTTGTGGTCTTTGGCCATGCCTGGGTGACCGGGGGGCTGCTTGTAACACTTCCCTCGCAAGAGCAAAGCAGTCGAACATGATTCCAAGTTCCCCAACTGAACTTAGCATGATGCCATTTTGCAAAGGATCATGTTCAGAATTCACACGGGGGAAGAAAGTGGATGGAACAACTTTCAAGGTAGAAGCTCCATCAAAATCAAGCCAAACACATGGGAGCTGCACCATCAATGAAACACGTCAGGTCTGCTTGAGCTTGAGAAACACCGTTTCACGGCTGGAACGGCCTGGTGAACATCCACAGAGACCCAGGTCTTCTCATCTTCAAATGCTCCAGTACCAGCACCCTTGCCAGAGCCATCATCGATGCATTCCTCGTCCTGCTTTTTCCGGAAGAACGAGGAAGCGTGGCCAGACATGTTTTGACATGTTTAGACACATGTTCAACCACAAAAGGAGTCAAAAAGAGACAAACACGTCAGTCATATTCATAGACAAGGGTTGTAGAAACACCACAATCGTATCCCCATCTGCCAGGTATGCCCAACTTCCTTCTATAGATTTCATACGGAACCTGTGTTCAATGCCAAAGAAATTGCTCTGCGACCAAGCTAAGTGAGGGTCAGGTGGCACGTCTCAAACGAATAACCTTCCTTACTATCCCATGTGAAACTGAAGCCACATAGCCGCCTTCCGTCCGCTGGTCTGCAAACAAAATAGTGACTTGTTGGTGAGGACTTCCACACGGCTCGAGCCCAACGTCCTTGGCCAGTGAAATCGTGAAATCGGCATTCGCTGCTGTCTGCTGTCCCAAAACCGGCACAAGGCAGCTGGGCAAGTGGGCCATTTGCATCATTTAAGTAGATTCATTTGGATCAAAAGAGCAGGCAGGGACAAAAAACACAAATCCCGATTGTTCATGTGTCCGATGTACACGCACTCTTTCTATCCAGTGTTCACCATCGCTTGGGCTTTTTTGTTGCGAAGCTGCACGCACATCCGACCCTGTGGTTGCTGGTGCTTGCCTGTGCTTGTGCACGTGGCGCACTGGAGCCTTCAAATATGTCTCATCTTCTTTTAGAGACGAGTCGCTTGTAGTCTTGGACAATCAAGCGATCTGATCCAAGCAACGACCTGCGAGCAAAGGCTATACTATAGTGCTTGGTTGGCACGGATGGCTCTGTTAAACAAACACTTTCCTGCTCGGAGCCACTGGTCTTCTCACAAAGTGTGTGTTGTTAGCTGTCAGTTGGTCTGTCAGTGTTCATGGCAAGATAGCTCTGTGTGTGTGTCTTGTCGTAAGCAACTGTCTTGTCAACTTAGCTACAGTGTCCCACCGGTGCAAAGTCTGTCCCGTGCAAGAACCATCTCTGCACAGCTGGGACCTCGACTCGAATCTGCAGCAAAAAAAACCTCCCAGCGGACCCAGCCTATTGAACTGAACGGTAATCTTCCCATGTGCCATCTGACATCCTGCCAGTGTGGGTCCAGTAAATGGTCCCTGCAGGCCATACGCAATGCTGGCAGCGGCCGCAGCCAAGCGATCACCCACAGGTTTCTTGTCTCTGGGGTGGATCGGGCCGATGTAATAATTCGTGGCCTGAGAATCGCAGAATGTGCGAAACACACGGGAGCTCGGTGCGAGCTCCCAGCTGTCCACCATGCCCGACCTACGCCCGATGTCCATGGGGACAAGACTCCGTGCCAAGGCGGCGCCCTTGGACGAGGAGTGTGGGCGCCAAAATGAGACGCAATGAGCTGACTGGATCTGTTCGGACTGGATCCCGAAGCACTGTGGATCTGTTTTCATCTGAATTGAAATGTTCGTCTCCTTGAGGAAACCCCCTGGCCAAAATGAAACACTTTTTGCTAGTAAGTGGCCTGGAACGACAACACTGGCTAGCCGTTAGCCGCTTGCTCAACACAGATCCAAACGTATCGCAGCATGTTTGCTTGCTGCTTCAACTCTGGGGCGGCTGCCATGATCTTCTCTCCGTCATTGGTGCAAAGAACATCAGCTGAGTGGCGCTGAGATTGGCGCAGTAGCCATTGGGCCCAAAGCAGCTGTGACACTGAGGCTTTGGAGTGGCCGTCCCACAGCAGCCGGCGCGATAGCAGGTGATGTTGCTGAAGGGATCGTCCAAATCCTGGGTGGACGGTCCAATTCATCCCCCCGAATGGGTCGGTCGCAAATGACTTGGATTTGGATGGTCTCTTTGTTTGCCCCAAAAAATCAGGAATAGCATAGGTGATGATCTGCGTGTTTCCTTTGGCCACTGCTTGCATAAAGACGCCCAAAGCCATTAGAACTAGGTCAAACACACTACCATCCCCCATGTGTTTGGGCTGGAAGCCCTACTGACTGCAACTGAGGCACGAAAGCCTGTGCCATGAACCTTAGTGATCCGATCATCTCTGCGAGTGTCAAGGGTATCATCATCGCTATCTCAAGGCGCACCAGTTGTAAATGGCTGGAATGTTGCAACTCGACAATCCAAGTAGACCTATCGACGTTTTCCAGAAGCTAGCCGGTAGCCATCGGTAGCCGGTAGTACTTAAGCGTGTGGGCCACATCTCTAGCCTGATCCAAGACCAAATGCTTCTTAACCTTTTTAGGAATAACCATTTGCGCACGCGTAGTAAAGATGCAGAACTCTATAGACTCTAACCAGGGAACAATAACATGGAATGAGGCTCTGGTGAGCAGTGCTCACATGCACATGGTGAACACCCCAACGTCACCCAAGTGACACAGAAGAACTTGACTCCCCTTGACTCTGGGCGCGTTACCACTTGATCTTTATCTCTTTCAAGTCCAGTCCATTCCCAGACATGGACCG